ACCAGTTCATGCTATGCATTCATAATACCTGACAGAGGCTAAATGTAATTACAAGTCTAGCGTATTTGCATAGTGTGAAAAAAATGTTACTCTGAAGGAATGACTCTTTCTTGGTGGCAATTCAGCGGCTTTGAATGAGGACTCTTCAAGACTCCTCCAGTGACCCTGTTCAGGAATGTGCCTCCTGCACTTTCTGTTGAGTTGGGCAGAATTGCTTTTCCCTCAACACTGTGGCCAGTTGTCTTAATTTTAATACTTGAGATCGTATAACCGGTATTAGGTTTTTACTAAGGCCCTTAATACTTTAATACAACGTCAGAACTGATAGATATTTCCTTATGGCCTTGGTGCTGGGCACTAAATTCTAAGTCGCATCTTACCCAAGGGAGAAAAATGCAAGGCTCACAAGGTCACCAGTATCAGAGGTTGTTTGGGTCTTTACTCATTATTTTTTACCACTTTGTGCCCTTAGTTTTGGAACTTCTGGAGTGGTAGTGAGTCCTAGGCATTCTAGACACTGGATGGAGTACTTTCTCTTTCCTTGAGACCTTTAAAGGCATGTAGAAATCATGCCTTTGTTCTCTGTTCTGCATCTTTAGGCTGCAAGAGCACTATGGGGTGTGAATTGAATGTCCAAGAGTTCCTCCACCAAGACACTGACTTATTCCTGCCTCAGATCCCCTGCTTCTCAAGGATTTTCTAGGATTTCAAAAATATGGCTGTACTTCCTTTCTGTTTCAGAAAAAATCTGTCTTCATTGTGTAAGTCCTTCTAAAGCGACAGGAAATCAGACATTAAGAAACTGATGGTTTGAACATATTTCCATGGAAAAACCCACTTACTACAATTAGTTCCAGATAAGCTTCACTTCTTTTACTCTAATTGAGTTTACTGATTTAAAAAATATGTTCTAGGGCGAGAGGTGGTTATAAAAGAGCAACATGGAGGATCCTTGTGGTGATCCTTGTGGTTCTGTATCTTGACTATCGTGGTGGATATAAAAACTTAGATATGATAAAATCGTGTAGAATGAAATACACGCAAATGAGTACATATAAAACTGGGGAAATCTGATTAAGATTGGGAATTGTATCAATGTTGGTACCGTGATTGTGAAAGTATACTATAGTTTTACAAAATCTTACTATTGAAGGGAACTGGGTAAAGGCTACATGAGATCTCTCTGTACTACTTTTTACCACTTGAAGTGAATCTACAATTATCTCAAAATAAAAAGTCTAATTAAAGATGTATTTTATGTTCTAGGCTCAGAGCATTTAGAAAGATAAAATTCATACATGCAACATATAACCAAACACACATGTTCACAAACAGTAGTCAAGGTTCAGCCCACCATAGTGGGTACGTAGACATTTTTGGTACCAGTTGGAGCAAGACAACTTCATGTTTAGGTAATGGACTGAATCTAAATTTGGTGTCATAAAGCATAGCCATCCTCTTTAGATCTCACACAAACAGGACAGTCAGGACTATAATTTTTCTATGATGGTGAATGTAAATATTAAATGAAGAAGGAAAATAATCTGAAAGTTTAGAATTCTCTATTTGTATTGATTTTTATATTGAGGTGTTTAAAAAAATCTTGTAAGGAAAATGTTGAAAAAGACAATCCAAATACATATGTAAGAAATTGGAAGAAACGTGTTACCTGTTTTATGTGTTCTTGCACTATTTTCCACTATGCACTCTGTCTTTGTCCATTTGGGCTGCTACGACAAAAATACCATAGACTGCGTGGCTTGAACAATGAAGATTTATTTCTTAATGTTCTGGAGGCTGGGAAGTCCAAGATCAAGGTATTGAAAGATTTAGTGTCTGGTGAGAGTCCACTTCCCGGTTTATAGACCAGGTTCATCTTCTTGCTAGGTCCTCGCATGGCAGAAGAGGTGAGGGAGCTTTGTGGGGTCTTTTTTATAAGGGCACTAATCCCATTGACGAGGGGTCCACTCTTGAAGACCCTAATCACCTACCAAAGGCCCCACCTCCAAATACCATCACACTGGGGATTAGGATTTCAACACAGGAATTTTGGGTGGACACAAACATTTAGTCTGTGAGCATAGCATAACAACAGAAAGTCTTCCATTTTTAGCTATAAAGAAAAACATAGATCATCCAGCTGTTCTGCTTTATACTCATATACATACATAATCATATAATCATACCTACTTTACATAAATCTCTCGATTCAAAATATTGGGAGTAAAATGTTTGATTAATAAAGTAGTCCGGTTATTGAGAGTTAGTGAGCTTGAATGAAATCCAATTTCAAAGGATTCACAGAAAGTAAAATACATTTAACTCAATCACCTCAAATCCATTATGGAATGAGAGAAGATAACATAAGATATTTAACATGATACAAGAAAAATACATATATATTTTAAAATTTGGCTTAAATTTGGGTTTTCTTTTTTTCAGGATCTGGCAGAGTTTCAGAAATATTATTAATGTATCTCAATAATTACTGTGATGACAAAAAAATTAGGAAAGTTATATTCTGCACATTGAAAACTTTAATGCTTACAGATTCCTCATATCAGCTGTCATCTTTCTTCTTTCCTACAAATAGAATGTATTTAAATTTTCTGCAATTCCTGAGGTCTTAACACTTTCAATTTCCTTCTTCATTAGACAAACACATTTCTACAAACATGATGCCAGGTCATAATTTTTGTAATGTTTCAGTTTTAAAATAATTTCAAACATACCATTAAAATTTACCGCTTTTATGTTAAACTGATAAAATGTCTACTACATGGCAGATGAGTTTTCTACTACAATCTATCCCATAATCAAGCGTTTTACTTCATGCATAATAACCTGGTCTGCCGGCTGAACAGCTGAGGTAACGTTGGCAGGGAAGAGAGTAAGAAACGTCATCTGACAACAAGGGCAATCTGTATAGCTGGTACAGAGAATTTTACTGCTTTCTTCAGACAAACTTATTTTTTCCCCTTCATGCAAAAGCCTTGATGTTTAGAATGAAGAACCTTCTTAAAGCTTTGGGACAACTTTGTCCTCCTCATCAGAAGCCTACGTGGAAGAACTGTGCAGCACCCAGAGACACAATAATCCATCAGACTTAAAACCAGAGGCATCCATCACTGCAGGGGTCTCTGATACACATCAGCTGCACATGAATCATGAAAATTTTCAGAAAATAGATGCTATACAGCATTTACACCGAACAACAAAAAGTCCCTAATTTTGTTAGAGTTTTATGTGCAGGTATTTTTTGCATTATTCCCTAGGATTCCTATTCCATATTAAATTTTAAAACATGAGTCAATTACAAGAAAACCCACTCCATTGGTAGTGAGAAATTTGTGTTTTGAAAAATTCATATTGCTGTATCAACCATCATCCATATTTTTTAGCTTAACATTTATTAGTTATTTAGTATGAGGAAGAGAGTTATTTTACCCCTGGTATCTTCATTTTACCTAAGAGTGTAAATGCAATTGGTGCCTAATTCAATTGCTATTTAAAAATACCTCAATAGGCCATGTAACGCATACATATACTTCTTTCAGTATGTCAATTCTAACGGTCCTTGAAAAACATACTAATCTACTGAGGCAATTAATCTGCAACTTCATTTTTTTTTTTTTCTGGCAGTTGAACCATCCTTGATTTAATGAGCTGTAGCCTTAAGGCATCTGAGGGGCTGGGAGGAGCACCTGATTCACCTGACTTCTACCTCTAACACCCTGTTGGCAGAACCTATTCCCTCTAAAGGGTCTGTGCCACATGGTGTGTAATCAATGCAGTAGTATCAGGAGCACCCCAAATTTTTGTAATCCTCTCTTTTACAGAAATGCGTTTATAGTTTTAGTTTTGTGTTGGCAGTAAAAAGACAATTTTATTGTGGCAGGACTAACTCATGTTTTTAGCTTGAGAGAGCCCAAGGACCAGTGTGCTACTACTTTTAAGATTTTGACTCAGCACTCACAACCTGTCAACAAGAGAACACGCGGCTGCGTAAGGTAATGAGCTCCCTATTTTTCAGAGATCTGCAAGCAGAGCTGATACGAATTAGGCACTTTGTAGAAAAAGACACATAAAGCAGATAACCTCACACTTTCTTCCAACTCTATGACTATACGTGTCTTTGACAATCACTCAGATTAATATTAAGTCTTACTTAGCTCCTTTGATTAAGGCCCATGAAGAACACGGCATTCCAAAACCTGCAAAGAAATCTAGCAATTGTTTGTTCTGGGTCTGAAAAAAGGCACCAGTCAAAATTACCTCGTTAGGATGGAAGTTTCCCATTTCCTCTTTCATGATGATACAATTGTTAATTTTTCCATTAATGGCAGTATAATTCTCTTAAGCCCTTTTTTGCTTGAGAGAACCTATGGATGGTTAATTATATGCATAGTTCATTGGATAACTCACCCAGTTATTTTGCTTGGCTCTTTAGTCTACAGTAAAATACTGACTTTCTGCCTTGTTTGTTCCTCTTACTTTCCCATTTGGTAGTCTCCTTTCTCATTTGGTAGTTTTGCTTACACACCCCACATTTTATCTTATCTGAGAGGAATTCAGCTTTCGAAGTTCACTTACTCATTGTCAAAGGAACCTACTTAGCCTGTTTTGGGATTTGGCCTAGATTTGGTGTTGTTGAGGTGTATTGTGGCAGATTACTATGCATGCCTTCTCCCATGGAATGTTCTTGGTATGTGAGTTTCCTGGTCTTTTTGAATTATCTACAGTAAGCTTGATATTATGTGTTAAAAATTATTTCTTGATATAGGTAAAAATATTGCTATAATGTTTGTCAGGACAGAGTTCAGGTGTCTGCATTTGGATAAATTTGTAGTTTTACATAAAAATTATTTCATTTTTCCCAAGATATGCTACAGATGCAAAAACGTAGGGATAAGCATTGACCACAGATTTCTTATCATTGGAACGAGTAAATAAGGCCAAAATCATGCACCCATCAGGTGGGACATAACACACATTCCACATACCTGCGCAAACCCTTTATTAAAGCAATAATCAAAATACAGGATGGATCACGTTTTTTGTGTTTTTTTGCTACTATAACATCAACTTAAATATTAGTTATTTGTTTACATTTTTATTTTTTTAAAAAAGTGAACAATTATAGTTCAAAGAATCATCAGTTTCACATTTCCGCCCAGATAAACTTTTTCATCTTATTTTCTGATTTTAACAAAGGACATCCAGAACCAGAGATACAGCAAACCAAATGTGAGTGCAAGCATCTTCTTTGACCCTAACTCACTCTAGTCACTCTATGGCGACTGAGAGATACATTTGAAGTCTTTTATTACTGGTTAAATAAAAATAATTTATGCCAGAATATTCTTTGAACTACTTGCTTTCTAACTTTGCATTCTCTAAGAGCTTCAATTTTGATTGTGGTATTCTAAGTATTAGTCCCCTTAAAAACAAAATCTCTAAAAAAATCTCAAAGATCATTATCACCTTCATATGATATTTTCTTGTATAACTGATCATTGGAAAAGATAATAAGCAATTCTGTTTTGTTTGATTTTTTCCCACCACTGATTCATTTAATCTCAATCTTATTTATCACTGTAGAAACCCTAAAAAAGTCATTAGGAAAATGAACTTTGTTATCTACTGAAGGATTTTTATATGAATAGGTAGGTGAATGTAAAAATGACCAATATCTTGAAGCTTATCAGGTGCTTGAAATATGTGCATGAATATACAATGAGATTTGGTAGATATTTAAAGAGTAGCAATAAATTAGTTTAAAAAGCAAGAATAGAAACATGGATTTTAATCTTAAGGGACTGCCAAAAGGATATGTGAAGACAGGTAGAGGACAGTAGTTGAACTGTGCTGAGTATAAAATAGGGTTTTGGAAAGATAAGTTAAACGCTCCAATTTCTTACCAAATGAAACACTGAGAGGAAATATCCCATTAACAGAACCATAGGGGCTGCTGTTGAAGAGTTTTAGCACTGATATAACACTCTATTTCAATTTGCAAATAAAGGCGTCAGCTCTGCCTTCTGAACGGTTCCTTCAGTGGCTGGGGTTGGTGTTCCTAAGCTGATCTGTGTTGGCTGCACTACATTTGGAGTGTGTCTGTTCAAAACATGCATATATTCTTTGTGCCTTACATTTCCTTCCTGTGCTAAAGAGCTGAGCAGATCCTAGATTACCAATAAGTAACAATCCAAGCATTAGAACATGTTATCAGTCGACTGAATAATTTACAGAGCCACAGTTCAGTTTAGTCTTTCCATCAAGTTGCTTTCTTATCTCACATTTGCCCTTCAAACAGAAGTTTAGACAACATAGACTTCTACAATTAAAAATGAAACCAACAACAAAAAGATAAAGAAGGAAAGAAGATTCAGAATCGATTGTGCATGATGTCAGATCTTTTAGCCTTAGTTTTGAAATAAGGAATGCTCATAAGCATCTGAGACAAATCATTCTGGACGTAACTGACGGCACAATGATGCTTGGGACAGGTAAGAACATTCAGAGATTTTAGAGTGATTTCTATGCGTTATGTATCACATTTGGTTCCTAGAGATTTTAGTCAAGTATTAGTAGTTCTTTTGCCAAGTATGATATACAAAAAGATGAGAAGAGCAGATGTGCCCTAAAGATATGAAAATATAATATATAAAACAAAACCATTATAAATTACATAGATTTTCAGTATAAAATTTTTTCCATTTAGAATAAATACCATCCAAGTTTACAGATCATCTAAGTGAATTAAATATGTACACGTATCTGAATCATTTTCAGAATTTCAAGAAAAAAACTGCTAGAGATATGATCAGATGACTCAGAAACCAGAAATGGTCTAATTTTGAGAATGCTTACATAAGACCCAAAGGACATGGCTTGGGATTTAGTGTTAAGCTTTTAAAACTTCCCAAATGAGTCTGACGTGCATGTGTGCACACACACACAGCCATACTTCTATGAATTTCTAAGAAGCTGAACAGTTTATCTTTGAAAAATCAGCCGAAAGTCACAAGGTCTTCCACATTTCATATTCTAGCAGGAAAGCCTTTCTCATTTCATAAAGACGCTGTAGGATAGGGAGAGTGTAGAATTTCTGGAAGGAAAAATTTCCATCGTGAGCCAACCTCCTTTTAGGTTGGCATTTTATCAAGAGTTTTTTGATGCCTTAAAGAGGGGTAAAGTTTTGAAAATCTATATGATCTCCCCAGTATAAAGAAGTTAAAACCAACCTGGAAACATTCTTTGGTCACAAATTTCTGCTCCTGCTTCAAAAAAACTCTGCTCATTTTAAACTTTTTACCCCTCGTCAACATCTAGATGGAACAGATGCCTTCTCTTATAGTTTCCATGTGGAAATATGCACAACGGTTTATGTGGAAGGACAACTGAATAGAATGGGAAAAAGTTCACACAATATCACAAAATGAGCTTAAGTCTCTGTTGTTGTTTTGGGCGTATAGATCCATGGTAAGAATTTGTTGACCTCCGTAACAAGTGGAAAATATCTATATTCTAAGAGTTGGAGATAAAACTTTTCTGTAACTCAAATACATAAAATCCTAGTCCAGACAGCCCAAACAGGAGTCATGGTTTCTCTTGATTGCTCACTACTAATTTCTTTACGTGACCACCAAAGACACTTCAAACTAGATGCCAACAGTTCATCCTGGCCAAGAGATGTTTGATCAAACTCCATGTCTTGTCAGATTGTCTTCCACACCAGTTATTTATGAATAAAGAAACTGTCAGGGGCACCCCGGAAGCCAAACCCTCTGCCCTCAGCTACAGAGCCAGACCCATTTGCTGTAAAGTTTCAACAGCAAAAGCATCCGATCTCATGCACCCATTTTTGCTCCCAATGTTGCCTGTCTCTTGCAACGGGGACCAACATGGATGATTACAAACTTTCCATAAAACTATAAATGTCTGAGCTAGAAGGGATCTTGTGGCCCATCAAGTACAACCCCATATTTTGTAGATGCAAAAGATTAAACCCCAGAGAGGGGAAGAGAGTTGTCCAAGGTCACTTATCCAGATAGTGACAGAGTAAGAACTAAGCATCTGGGTCTGCTGTCTCATGACTAACATGGTCCATGTAACCTCCAATGTCATGACCCCATCACTTGATGTGACCATGACCCTTAGAATTTCTTTAAGCTTAGTGTCTCCCCTGTTCCTAAGTGAAAATGAAATAACAACACTCATTCTCACCACAATTCAATCTACACTGTGGAAGGGGTCCTAAGGAAGTCTTGGGGGAGAAGATCCACAACTTGCTTAAAATGCTATGATTATTTGAAACTGATCCACTTTGTCTGAATAAGTAATATGTATAAAAAATGTTAGGTGAACCCAGAGATGAAAGTGAAAATCTTGAACGTAACTCAGAAAAAGAGCAAGGGTGATAATATTGGTTTGGATCTGTGAGAGAGTGAGACCATTTAAATGGTGCTCAGAGCTCATCTAGTCTGCCACCTCTGCCAGATAAGGAAACTGAGACCCAGACTTGCCCAAAGCCAGGCAGCTGGTTATTGGCACAGTCAGGTAAGGTGTTGGCCTTTGGATGCCTAGCTTTGTCTTCTTTCCACAGCATCATTCTGCCTCACGTATAATAACTCCTTTCTTGTGAGACTACAAACTAATTCAATACTTTTGGCATCAAATGTGATGGTACAGTTATGCCACTATTCTAACCTTTCACTCTCCCCTTCAAGGACCAACAAGTCAGCTACGCAGTTTACAAAAGCAGACCTGGTCACACAACTTCACAGATCCCGACGTTTGCTGCCCCAAATCAAGCTGGAGTCACCTGATGGCATCTGGTCCTTGCAAACCCTTCTGGGAAGCCAATATTCTACAACCTGCAGGCATTCAATGAATGCCCCTGTCTTTGGAAGCAACAAATTTCCCAGATAAAGCATCAGTCTCTGTTTGGAGGGTGATGGTCCTTAAATGTAAAAACAGCAATTTTCATGGGTAGAATGGGTATATTCAACCTTTCACAATCTCCCTCCAACCTCGGTTGAGCTCACCAAAATGCTCTCAGAAATGGACAGGTAAACACATTTTTATTTGGCTATTAAAGTGCTATTCCTGGGCAAAGCTTTTCTCAGTTTCACAACAGCAGCTTCATTGGAAACAAAAATAGCAGTGTACGGAGAGAGGCCTGGGAAATGACAAAAAGAACGAGCCTACTAACTACTTTGGAACATTATAAATGACTTGTAGATATCAGTCCTCGTACGGGTGACTGACACCAAAGCCTCTGAGGTAAATGTTCTAGGGAGAAATAAGGACAAAGGGGCAAAGAGGACTAAACCAGAAAAACAATTAATATTAATACAAGTACTCCAACAAAAAGGGACCATGAAAGGAACAAAAACTGAGAAGAAAGTGCAACAAACCCACGTACGTGCATTTACTATTGTAGCAGACCTATAATTTTTCAAAGGAAAAGCAATGCAGTGTGCATTGGAGAGGGCTCTTGAACTCGGAATATCTTACAGTAGTGTACTCTTTGCCAAAAGGGCATCGCCAATTAAGGTATTTGGCAGAGAAGAGCCTCTAAAATTCGTATCACATGGACACTTTCTGTCCAGTAGTATCAATTCTGCACCCTGATGTTCCCCGCATCCTTTTCTACTGGGGAAATTCCAGTCACAGAAACTGCACACAAGTGCTTCCCCTTTTGAAATGGCATGTCTCCTACCTAAGGGATGAGCATCTCCTGGTAAGGCTTAGCGGCAAGTGCGTACTACATCGGTACTACAAGGAGCAGCCCCTGATTTTCTTGATATGCATAGCTTTTTGGAGTTGATATTATACATGGCTTTCGTAAATTATGCAGGTGTTTCTGTCACGTGCCATTACTGGCTCTGTAGTTTCCAGGTGAGCTGGCGGCAGGACTCTATCTGATACCTCAACAGGTGTCGGCTCTTCCGACGTTAGCTCCGTGGATGTTACATCTGTAGAAGGCTCCGCAGTTTCTGGAGAACGTTCAGCGGACGGTTCTGTCTCCTCTTCATCTTTGACTTCAAATGGTATACCCTCTTGGTCGTCCATGTGATCTTTTTTGGACTGCGGGTGAATGGACACCTTGATGGCAATCTGCTGAGGCTGTTCATGCAGCGATGAGCCGTCTGAGTCGGCGGTGGGGGAGTCACTTCTCTTCAGGGAGTTTGGGATCATGTACACCTCATCCCTGTCGGCGGCCTCCTGGCCTTCTGGAGTGTGCCGCACAAAATTCTGCCCTTGCTCCTCCAGCCCAACCACTTCCATGATCTCTTCCATGATAGTTCTGCAGTTCATAATGAGGGGAGGCAGAGGCACACTCCTGGCAAGCTCTTCAATATAGCGGGCAAACTCCATGGTTTTGAACTGGGTGACTTTGGCAAGCTCTAGAGTTTTGGCTGAGGTGATGATGGGGATCCGCTTGGCGATCTCAAATGCCTTTTGCAGCTTCTCCGCGCCTTCTGTCCTAAAGAACTCGTTGATGGCTTTCTCGGTCTTCTTCAGGTGGCTGCTCATCATGCACAGGCGAGTGATGTTGAGAATCATGACGATGGTGAAAGCCACGAGGCAAACGACCATGTAGTAGACTCCCATGTCTCCAGAGGTAAAGATGACTCTCAGGGTCACTGTGTTGTTCACAGTGCCATAGGCATTAGAAGCAACACATGTGTATTTACCTCGGTCTGAAAAAGACACCTTGGTGATGTTCAGGAGGCCACTGTCGTGCATCTGCCATTTTCCTGCTGGAAGGGAGAGGAGAGAATTCAGACAACTTCCTATTGAAGTGACTACAAACTCGCACATTACTATTACTACTGTTACTACTCATACTAATGATAACGACAGCAAACATTTACTTAATGTGCTTGCTATGTGCTAGACAATGGTGTGTATTACCTCACTGAATCTTCACAACAACTCTGTGAGGTAGGCACTAATACTAGCCCTAGTTTACAGGGTGAAGAAACTGAGGCAGAGTTAGATTAAACCACCTTCCCAGCATCACCAGTTTGGGAGCAGTAGAGCTACAAGATGACCTTAAGTCAAGAGGCTGTATTCTTAACTACCGAACTACACTGTGTAATTCCACATCCTAGTGAAAAATATAAAAAAACCAACCACCTGGAAAATACTGTGCTCTTACTAGAGAATTCCTTGACTGTAGCATGTGATTTTCTAAGCTGCCTGTGAGCACGCCTCTACTGCATATACGTTTGCTGAGGAGCTTAATGCTTCTCAGAATATAAAGTATTTTAGGATCAACACAGAATCTGGAATAAATCAATTAAATTATAATTGTTTATCTGGGTTTCTCACATTTGCGATGGAAGTTATCCTTGTACGACCTCAGTTAATTAAAACATAACTTCTTTTTTTTTTTTTTAAGATTTTATTTTTTTCCTTTTTCTCCCCAAAGCCCCCCGGTACATAGTTGTGCATTCTTCGTTGTGGGTTCTTCTAGTTGTGGCATGTGGGACGCTGCCTCAGCGTGGTCTGATGAGCAGTGCCATGTCCGTGCCCAGGATTCGAACCAACGAAACACTGGGCCGCCTGCAGCAGAGCGCGCGAACTTAACCACTCAGCCACGGGGCCAGCCCCTAAAACATAACTTCTATCATTAATTTTGAGACTCCACAATGAACTGTCTATACTACCTCAAGTTACAGCCTAACAATGTGCAGATTCAGAGGCTGGATATGAATTCATATCAATTTGTTTTAGCCTTGCAAATAAATTACAGACCCATTAGGTTGAAAATAAGCCTCAGACGATGGAGAATGAATGTTGATAAGCGCAATTCTTCTTTCCCCTTCTGGCCTGGAAAGGATCTAGCTTTGCCCTGGAAATAAGGTTCTAAATCGGGCGAAACTCTCGAATTGGGATTAATTCTCGGTCTGCCTGTGCACCTGCAGGTCAGAGGAATCTTGGGAAGCTTAATACTAGATTTGGCTTCTGGATCTTGGGTCTGAGCCTTTATGAAATCCTACCACCTTCCTAGACTGTCCTATAGAGAAAGGAGGGTCCAGCTCAGGCCTCTTGGGAGCTCTAAGGAGCAGGTAGATATTTCTCCAGTAGTTCCGTAAGCCAAATAGAGGAACCTCTCCTGAGAGATGGGGCAACTTAACATGTAGTCTCCTTTTAAGTATCTATGATTGCATTGTATCTTTACTTGTTTCTTCCCCTTCTGGCAGTGACCTTTAATTCTAATTAAGAGTCTGATATTTCCCAAGAACAACAAAGAACATTTTCTTTTTTTTTTTTTTTTTTCAAACTTGAGAGCACATAAGTGACCAAGATTTCAAGGGCCTGTGGAATGAGGTAACAGAGGGCCTTCTTTATTCCAGCATCCTCTGCTCCAAGGAACATTCTTAAGGCAGCTAGATGGAGCAGGGAGGTGCCTTCTGGGGGCCCACAGGCCCTCCTACTTGCTAGCCACGGTGAATCTGGCAGGATGCGTCTCGTAGATGCTGTCACATTACTTTGCTTTCTGAAAGAACATCTGTGAAGAGTGGTTCTTGGTGTCCCTGGGTAACCCTTTTCCAACAATTCAGCCAGTGTGTTTTCCCTAAGAGTAGAAAACACTGGTTCGGGGAATCTAGTGAATTCTCAGTCTCTTGTGAATGTCCATGAACAGATCAACCTAGCAGCTGATCTATGAAGTTTCCTCTCATTCAGACGGTTCAGGGGCAAGCCTTCTACCCCTTTCATTCCCTGAACATGAGTTTTGATACTTCAGCTGCAGATTTATAATACATATATAAATCTGAATACATAATGACCTGAGGCAAGGGAAACTGTCAACTTATTTTCTTAAAATTTACATGTTTCATAAAAGTAGACTACAGCAGGTAAAAAAAAAAAAAAACCTTCTATTTGACTGAAAGCTTATTATATAGAGAAGGTATTGGGTTCCAGAGAATTATAAACTATACTTATAATAGTTTCTCATATTTACCTTCCTTCCTTTGTTGGAGAAATATAACAAGAAACAGGGTGGAAGAGGGTGAGAAGGTGAGGTTATTTGTATGGGGAATAGTTAGAATCAATTTGTTCACCCCCTCACCCCCCACCACTCCTTTTATGGAGGAATTATCTGTAAACACAAGGCTAGGGCAGTCTGAACCTGGGTGTAGAAGAAGAAAAGCAGACAAGCACATTAGATTAAGAAGGCAGGCATCTGATAGCTATATAAACAGCTTTCTCCCCACACCTAAATAACAGTTTCAGTCATAATGGTATTCTAATTGTTATAGAAAAAAGAAACGTGAAAATACATACTTTCCTCTGCTGACTATTTAAAAACATTTCTAAACTTGAACTTTACAGTTATTTCCAGACACACTTTTAATTGTCTATTGACATGTATCTATGTATCCTGGACCCAAATGATTCAACTCAGATAACAACTTAGACACTTCAAAAGTTTCTTGTCACACTGTCAAGAGATATTGTTTGGAATCAAATATAACATTATTAGGTGACACATGGTTCATTTTGGGGAAACTTGTGTGATGTTCAGCAGATCAAACATTACTTAGGAGGATATTCTGCTTCTTCGCCCAGGATAGTGGGTCCTTAGAGTAACATCTTTTACATATTGTATCCAATAATTAATCTCACTTGTTCTTAAAGTCTGAAGCCCAGCCCATGTATCTGCAAGGTGACTCTATCTGCTTAACTATCAACCACGACAAATATGAATCTATATATTATGATCCTAAAACAGTTGGGTTATTATCTATAATCTGAGCTACAACACCCTAGTTAAGTGATTGTGATCACATTTCTCTCTGCCAGCAATTTCCTGTTTCCAATTTACGACAGGGACACCAAGACATCTCTATAGTTTTCAGTCCTTTTCTAGATTTCTCTTATAACAAATACCATATTTATCTACGGATTAAGGTAATATTAATGCCACTTAGGGTTCCTCTCAGATTTGATATGATAAAATGAATATGTGACCTGGATTAAACATTCTATTACCAGATCACAAACCAAGTCTTTGGAACTCAAGACATACCCACATATCTACCCAAGTCAGAAGGGCTAAGATTCACATCTCCAGGTGATCTATGTCTATATTGCTTCTTTTTAAAAGGCTGACACATTCACTCCTTCCCAGAAACTAAGATTCTAAATATTTCCTCTCATCCTCAGCTTGACATTTCTTTTGAGGAAGATTAGCCCTGAGCTAACATCTGCTGCCAATCTCCTCTTTTTGCTGAGGAAGACTGGCCCTGAGCTAACATCCATGCCCATCTTCCTCTACTTTATATGTGGGACACCTGCCCCAGCATGGCTTGATAAGTGGTGCCATGTCCATACCCGGGATCTGAACTGGTGAACCCCGGGCCGCCGAAGTGGAACGCGTGCACTTAACTGCTGCACCACCGGGCCAGCCCCTCAGCTTGACTTTGGATTAGGGGAAAATAAAGATTTCTGCATTTTCTACTACCATATGCAGCCCTGAAAACCATGAAGATGGCACAAATTCCACTCTGGGGGTCTCTTCTCACATCAGGTTTGGGCCCAGGCTCACGAAGAATCTCCCTATGGTACCCGCCCAGCCGGGATCATCTTGAGAACATTTTCTGCGCTGCGTGTTGCCCTTCACCTCAGTCTGTAAATACCTTGCCCCAAGACTCGTTCTGGTATGGTCCTGACTTGAGCTGTCAGAAAGTTAAAGAAGTAAAAACCACCACCACTGACTGTCACAGGAAACCTTCAGTGACATATACACAAAGTGGTATACGCGGTGCCGTCCCCGTGTATTTTAAACTGTAACTGAGTGGGAATGTCAAAGGTATGTGTTGAATTTTCATTAAGCTGCATCATTTTGGTACAAATAAACATCTAACATGTCAGCAGCTGATGCCACGCAATGATTTCAGAGGAGATCAAAGAGGCAGATGTTTAACGACGACTTTCTGAATATATATGAAAGATTATGTGTAAAATATTTCCCTAAGACTCTTGATGCTCGTTCACTTATTCCCATTCTGTCCTGGCTCAGACTGTAGCTCCGCCCTTGGGATGCCCTCCCCATGTCCTCTCTTCCCACTCTGGTCCTGTAAGGTGACACACACCTGCAGGTTTCAGGCTAAAACACGGACACACGCAGGAGGAGGAGGGCTCTGCATCTCTTCTGGAGACTAGAGTTTGCCCAGGAATCTGTCACAGTCTTCTCCAAGAAACTCAAGGTGCAAGAATCACACGTGAGCATCTCTCATGTGTGAATGGAAGTGTTGTGGTGACAGCCTCTCCTTTGCAAAGAGAAAAGCTAACAGATGTTATTTCTTATCTGTACCGCAGTGTGTATGCTACGCTCTATAACAAGCTGACGTTTTTAGAACGGCAGTGATCTTTTTTAATCTTGTTCATGCATTCAGTCAACAAATATTATTGAATAAATTGTCTATATACCAGGCTCCATGCTGCACTATGTCAATACAAAGATGAGTAAGACATGACCCCCGACTGTAAGAACCATCCAGCCCAAGGAGGGACACAGACTCCAAGAAACAACCGAAGGATCATGTGGCAAACACACTGGCAGGGGGCAGTGGGTGGGAATGGGGAACAGCGAGGATGGGGCTTCTTAAGAGTGCTGAGCAGTACTAAGCCAGGGTGGGCTGGCATGGTGCTGGTAGGAAGAGGCATGGAAGTACAAGGAAAGGACTTTTAAGGCCACAGGAGGATGGGGAGGGGGAGAGCATTTGAGCAAAAGAGGTAAGCCAGT